CAAAAGATCGCGTGGCTGCCCACCTACCAGATGGTCAGACTTCTTCGTGAAGATCATGAACGATCGGTTTGAGGCCCTTCATGTTCCCAGAGCGAACAGATGCCATTGGGCTACACTAGCACGCGACAGGGACAAATGGAGACATTACTGGTGCCCGCTCGAGCAAATCGACGACTAACGGGAAGTTAAGTGATTAGGTGATTAAAGACAACCACTTTGAACTGCACTAATGTGGCACAAACTTTGCCCACAGTTGCTGTTCCTGGTGCTTGCAGCACCAAGTGAGACGGCAACCCAGGGAGGGAGAGCCCGGCCCCCACGGAAGTCGGAGTCTCCCGAGGGAACCAGTGCCCGAGTCCCTGTGACACCCCTCACCTCCCCACCCCAGTTTAATTCCAGATTCTCCTCCCACGTAATGCTCCACGTAATGCCTCCATGTAAGTAGATCCACACCTCACAGAGAGCACCGTCCTGTACTAAGCAATATGCCACTGTATCTAGGCTCATGAGAAAGATCAGCTAGAAGGTAACTAGAGTAACAGTGGAGGTAGCAATAAGTGATTGATAACACACATAGCATATCTGGGGCCTGAGTTTACTCCCCAGCACCTGCTGTGGTGGCCTGGATGGTTCCCAGCCTATTGCCAGCCCCAAACACGGAACCCACCAGCTACCAAGCATTTCCAGGAGTGCCCCTGTGGGGGCAAGAAACTATCTATGAAGTAAAACTGCAAGTGGAGGTTTTGCCAGGGAAAATTACATCAATTTCCTTTTTCTCCTTCGGTGGATTTTCACATTGTGGTTTTTCATGGCAAATTGCCACATCACTGATAGTTGGCACTACTCAGTGTCTGTTTATTCTTCACTGCGGCAGCCAGCAAGTGTGGCCTGAAAGACTTTTACATGCTGAAGCTCCACTTTTATGACTTGGCGGGGTACCATGGGAGTTCCTCTGTGGTCAAGAGTGTGCCGGTTCTCTGCTTCCCAGAGAGGGGGGGTGTCCTCACCCTGAGTGGGGCCAACCATCCCCAGATGGCATCTCCACACTTTCTCCCTCAGGAGCCCCTGCTTCCACCTTTGGTGCTGGTGGCAGCTCAGAAGGAGAAAGTCTCCGTGCTTCCCCTTCAGCTCCGTGTGATCCACTGAGTAGCTCTCTCAGGGTTTTCTCCTGGGAGCTTTGAAGCTCTGAAGAGAGAGACTTAAGACCATTTCTGGTTAAGAGAAATTCTCCTGAGAGCTTTCTCAGAGCTTATTACACATGGTCTAATGAGTTGAAACAAAGGAAGAAAGGCAATTTCTGTGACTTTAGCCATCGGTCAGTGCACTTTTTCTCAGGGACCCTTATTGCCTCATGGAGGACAGGCCACGGTCCAATAAGCTGACCTATGCTCTGCTCATAGTCCACACAGCAATAAATCTGGGAACCTGACATGGAACTCTGTCCAAGGGGGATGGAATGAAATTTCACTCCTTCCAGATCTGGCCGCCAGGCAGCCTGTGCACAAGCCTGCTCCCCTTCCTGCCTATCCGGTCAGAAGATGGCCACTGAGCACCTCTCAGACCTCCCATCTAGGCACTTCTCAGATCATTTCTGTCTGTAGGGATTTGTGAAAACAAATGATTGGGATGTCTTTCTTCGCCCCCCCTTTGGCTTTTTTTTGTGGGGGCAGGGGGTTGGTGTCCCACCCGGCAGTGCTCAAGGGTTACTCCTGGCTTTGCATTCAGGAATTACTCCTGGTGGTGTTCAGGGGACCATAGGGGATGCTGGGAATCGAACCCGGGTCGGATGCATACAAGGCAAATGCCTTACCCGCTGTACTACTGCTCCAGCCCCCTCGGATGCCTTTCTTTGTGAAGAAGTACAACTTCTTCTCTTTTTAAATTAAAGAACTGTGGTTTACAAAATTATTGATAGTTGAGTTTTAGGCGTATAATATTTCAACACCAGTCCCACCCCCAGTGTTATCTTCCTCCACCAGTTTTCCCACATTCCTTTCCCACACCCGGCCCCTCCCCCATCTTCGCCTATCAACTTGACAGGCACCTTACAAGGTTCCAGGGGTTGCAGCTTAGATCTGATATGTCCAGTGTGGTTGTGTCTGTGTTGGATATATGGCCACAACACTCACCCATATCAACAGAATCACTGAGGCCCTGCTGCCTATTCACTCATTACTTGCAGTGTTCTCTTCCCCCACCTCGACCCAGCTTGATTTCTTTCCTCCCCTGTCCTTTTCCTCTCTAAACACTGGGGTCATGGGTGATGTAGGCATCCCCCTTTACTACAATACATCGTGTTGAGTGAAGTAAGCTAGAAAAGGAAGACACCAGATGATCTCACTTATCTGTGATACATAGAATACTGGACGAGAATTGGCCCTTTGCCTGCTTCAGCTTGTCATTTTGAATCTTGGAGCATGGAATAGAGACTCATGTGCAGGGTACACGTGGCCCCCTGTTGGCCCTACCTATACCAGTTGGGTGTGAAGTGCTTGCTGAGTGTATATACAGGGCAAGGTATCTGGGAGAGAGGGTAAGAAAGGGCCAGGGTCACTGGGTATAGAGAGAAAACAAAAATTGCAGGGATGAGGGAAGACGTTCCTGCCCAGAGGTGTTTTTGGGTTTTGTACGTTTTTTAAATAAAGTTGTTCACAGTAATTTATTACATCCGATAATCCAACACCAATCCCACCACCATTAGACCTTCCCACCACCATTATTTCAAATTTTCCCATCATCACCCAAGCCTGCCTCAAAGGCAGACCCTAAATAAGTTATTTTGTATTGCTTGTAATGAATAATCCACTATAAATGAGCCCAAAAAGTTTCCTTAGAGAAAAGTGTATGAAGATTGTTGTATCTCACCCTGGAGACATTAAGCTCTTGTATAACATGTTGTTGTAGGTTGAGACTTCTGTGCTAATATTTTTTTGATTGAGTTCGGTTGCCTTCTATTTTGCACCCCATCCAATGTGATGTGCTTCTTCTGGTACAGAAGTGGTACAGAGCATGAGATATCACTCCAGGAATTCTAAAACTTTTAATAGGGTGATAGAGCTGGAGTTAAGTTTTTAACTGGATGGTAACTTTGTGGTCTGGAGGCATCTCTGTAGCTTGTTGCACTTTTCTGAGATTTATTTGTGAGTCTCTGGATCATGGAAATTAATGAGCTCATATGGTGTCAGAGGCAGTTCCTGGGCGTGACTGCCAGGCTCCCCTCAGAACAGAGAGATGGGGGAAGGTCACCCATTCCCGACTCCAAGAGGAAGCTGGCCCAGACCTGGACTTTGTTCCTCATATCTGGGTCTTCTGCATTGACCAGGACCAAGTGTACCTGGCATTTTCAGCTATTTCTTGTGATATAAAACATTAGTATAAAGGAAATGGTGAAACCAAGGCCCCATGTAACTTTAAAATAAACATAAATCCAGTTGCTTTCCAGCTCTATAGAATTCATTACTCCAGGTGCTAAATGAAATTACTTTTCATCTTACTAAACAGGAACATGAGTATAAAATATTTTCTATTATTTTTTAATGTCGGGAGGGGGAATGTACCACCTTAACCAGTTTTAAGTATATAGTTAAATTGTACTATAGGATATTCAGGTGGTAGTGAAACAGAGTTTTAGAACTTTTTCAACTTGAAGAACTAAAATTTTGTAAATCCAATTACATTTAAACAGTTTTCCCTTTTGTCTCTGTCTCACTCCCCTACTCCCCACATTCTGTCTGTCTCTGTGAACTGGACACCTTAGATCCCTCACGTAAAAGAAATCATCTTCTTTGTCTTTTTATGACTTTTTTTGCTGGGGGCACACCCAGAAATACTCAAGGGTGACTCCCGATTCTGCACTCAGGAATTACTCTTGGCAGTGCTTGGGCAACCATATGGGGTATTGGGGATTGAATCTGAATCAGCCACATTTAAGGCAAGTGCCCTTATCCACTGCACTGTCATTCCAGTGCTCTTTCTGTGACAATTTTATTGCAATAAATATGGTATGATATCCACAGGGTCATCCTAGTTGTAGCATGTGTCAGGATTTTGTAAAACATGAGATTGTGAACACCGCCAAGCATGGATTTTTTTTACCCCAAATTTGTACACCAAATTCACTTAAACAAGGATCAAATGGGGGTAGGTGGAAAGCGAGCCCAGGGAGAGGGGATGCATCTTTACTGTGTAATGAAATAAATATTGAGTTTGTCTCTGTGTATGTGATGTTGCATGAATATTCTTTCGGTTGGAGGTGCAGAGACAAGACACGCAAGAGGAATGTAGAGAGCACAGAGGGCCAAGGCATCGATCTGGCTCGAGACGAAGAGCAACCTTTTATTCTATTTTTTTTTTAATCAGGGACATCCTAACAACTTCATCACAGAGAAAGACTCACTAATGAGAGTACAAACAGTTACAGGATAAGCATTCCTCAAAAGAACATCAGGGTATACGTTGTCCTGTCAAAGCTATGTTGTCAAAGCTATGTTGTAATAACTTAAAAACGTCAGAGGAAGATATGGAGCTGGACACATAGGCTCTACAGATTACATCCCCCACATTCTTGTGGTTGGTTGCACACAGGGCAAAGAGAAGGCTCATACTAATACTTGAAGGTCAAACCAGATTAAGGACGTGTAAGAGAGGGGGAAACTGCTGCCTTGTACCGCCAAGATAATGTATGACTATGTAAGCGGGTGTATGAAAGTACTCTGTACTCTCCAGGTCATCGGATTCACAAGTTTAGCTTGCCCACTTCACGTAAAAGTGGGGCCTCGGTTCTGCTTCCTGCTTGCAGGGCAGCGTCCAGAGGCTCGTCCTAATGTCCTGACTTAGCATCAACATGTGGTTTTTCTCAGGCTGCTGCTTCCACTTTCTGAGCAGCTACTGAATAACAAGTGGGGAGTTGTTAGAAGACGTGGAGGGGTACAGTGTCATCACTGGGTGCGCCTGAGAGGATGCCTATTAGCTTAGCTCCTGTGGCTCTGATTCTGTTGCAGGGAGCTCAGAAATATGCTCAGCACATCTTGGAGAAGGAATGCCGGCCTGGGTTTGCAGAGAGGTCCATGGGAACGTTGTTTGAGCACAGGTACAGCATGAACTTAGCACCTTTTGTGAAGAGAACCCCCCAAGCGAATGAAGCCGAGTACAAATACGAGCCTCCCTTTGGATTCCGGAAGTTCTCCCAGGAAGTACAGACTCTCTTGGGACTCTTGCCTGAGGATGACTTCCCTGAACGCTTGAAAGCAAAGAGCTGTCGGCGCTGTGTGGTGGTCGGCAGTGGTGGGATTCTCAAGGGACTAGAGCTGGGTGAGATCTTGAACCAGTTTGACATTGTCATAAGGTACGTTGGTTTCATAGGCAACCTGCCTGCTCTGGAATAAAATTCACATGATCACAGGTGCCCCCCTCCCAGCCCCCTCAACCAGCACCCTACACACACACACACACACACACACACACACACACACACACCAGTGTGGGACACAGAAACTGCCCTCACACCCACTGCAGGAGACTTGGAGACAAAAACATAAAATTATTGGCTGCAGTTTGGGTCAAATCTTCCAGAGGAATGAGGTGTGGAAGAACCCATAGCTTTGGTCCTTCATTATTTACATGTATGATTATTTTTGGAAATAAATTTTCCTTGAAAATAACAATTATTTCCTTGCAAATAATTGCTCACTGAAAGATATTTAACATTGTATAGATTTTTCCCCCTTGTGTTGCATGGATCAAACCCAGGACCTCACACTTGTGAAGCTTACATCCCTGGTCCCAGTATTTTAATACTCTTAAGGATCTTGATACATTTTAGTAACTTTTCCTTAAGCAGATACAGTGAATGGGAGGGAAACCTGGGGTCATTGGTGGGGGAAAGTGGACATTGGTGAAGGGATTGGTGTTGGAATGTTGTATGCCTAAAACTCAGTCATGAATAACTTTGTAATAAACAGTGACTCAACTTAAAGGGTGGGGGGGAAGTACATAGAACGAGGACCATGATGACTTTTGGGTCTTTGGGGGTCCTCTAAAAACAGTGCTCTGGACCCACCCCCGGAGATACTTAATCAACTAGCCATATGATTCAATGCTTGTGACATAGTGCTACCAGGCTAGCAGTGATGGGGCCACCAAGGCAATCCCAGTGATGCCCAGGGGACCACAAAGTGCCGGGGATTAAATTCAGTTATCTCTACACGCAAGGTGTATAGGCCTGACCACTGAGCTTCAAGCCTGAATTACAAATGTCTGACAGTAGGTATTGGTTTGATTGATGGCTGGAGAGACCAGGAGGAAGCCTGGGCTTAGAGATTGTAATTAGGGCAGAAAGTATATGGATCAGGTATGAGAGAAAGTATAAGACTAAAGACCCCATCCAAGAGTCCTGTTGAAAATGTGAATTTCAGAATTTTCTCACAGTTAATGTAAGGACCATCAAGATTTCTGGTTTGGGATTATTGAGACATCAGAGGAAATCACTGTCAGATAAGATGGGCAGGAAGGAAAAGGGAGAGGACTCAGGAGAGCGGAAAAGGGGCTGGAAGAATGCTGGGTGTGAGGTGATGTTGGGCATTTGGTGGGGGTCCGTGGACTTCCCACACAGACTGGGCAGCCATTGAGTATGGGCACAGATGTGAGTGGTTTAGCCTCACTCTAAGAGACAGAGTAGGAGGGAGAAGTAATTTTTAGGGTGCTTTATAAGAAGGTTCTTTTTGTTTGGCTTGGTACTGGGGTTATTCCTGGCTCTCTGCTCAGGGGTCAGCCTGGCAGTGCTCAGGGAAGCATATAGTGCTGAGGATCAAACCCGAAGCTCCTGCAAATGAAGCCTGTGCTGTAGCGCATTGAGCTGTCTCCACCCTGAAGAGGTTCTTGTCAGGGTGACTTTGACGTTAAAAGCAATTCTGAACTGGCTGAGATGTTTCCAGAACAGTCCAAAGAATTCCCATTCACCCTCTCTCAAACCCTCTGATTTCTAGTGCTTTATTGCATTTTTGTTTTTCCATGTTTTTATTATTCTTTCCTAAGCCTTCGGCAGTTTGGATCAAGTGCCTATATTCCTAATTACTTCAATGTGCATTTTTCTAAGTACAAGGACTTCTTGTTACCTAACCACAGAACAGTATTCACGTGAGCAAATTCACACTAATATGGAATTTTCTGAAGTTTTTATTCAAATATCACCAATTGTCCCACTAATGTTCTTCCTTTATTTTTTTTTTTTTACATTTCTTTGGGTGGAGCCACACCTGGAAGTGCTCAGGGATTACTTCTGGATCTGAGCTCAGGGATCACTCCTAGTGGGACTCAGAGAATCACATGGGGTGCCAAGGATTCAGCCCAGGTTGGCCATGTGCAAGCAAATGGCCTACTTGCTATATCTCTTCAATCTACTGTTCTTCCCCTTAATTAAAGAGAAGAAAAACCATGTCTAGGATCATGCCCTTGGTTGTCATATCTAATAATAGCTTTAAATCATCCAGGGTTACTATCTGAGATCTGGGAGAGGAAGTAGCGATAGAATAGGAAAGAAAGGCTGGACACAGACATGCATGGTAATATAGGGAAGAACCAAACTGCCTTTTTTTGCAGGCTGCTTCCCAAGCCCTGCTCCGGAGGCCTGGGGCCCACTCCTGATTGTGCGGCCAGACAGATTCAATGCTTGGGCTTGTGTGGTGGGAGCGATAGTACAACGGGGAGGGCATTTTCCCCGTACCCTGCTGACCAACAGGGAGGGCATTTTCCCCGTACCCTGCTGACCCAGATTTTATCCCTGGCATCCCATGTGGTCCCTCAAGCATCAATTAGGAGTAATTCCTGAAAGCAGAGCCAGGAGCAACCCTTGAGCCATCAATAGTTGGGCTTGAATCTGGGCATTGACAATGTCCAGTGCTAGAGGTGCTTGAGAGGGAGTGTGGTTCTAGGGTTCACATTCGGGGCTGCAATCTCCCCGGTTGCACAAATCTGACTTTTTTTATTTTTCACATTTCTTTTTTTTTCTTTTTAGGTCACACTCAGTGATGCTCAAGGGTTACTCCTGGCTCTACACTCAGGAATTACTCCTGGTGGTGCTCAGGGGACCATATGGGATGCTGGGAATCGAACCCGGTTGGTTGCGTGCAAGGCAAACGCCCTACCCACTGTGCTATCGCTCCAGCCCCTATTTTTCACATTTCAAAACTGTATAATTGCGATTGAGTGAGTGGGGTTACTTTTTGGGACAGTTCTTAGAATAGGCCCCCAGTCACCCTGGTGGTAAAACTTTCATTGATCTGTTATCTGTGTCCTTTAAAATCAGATGGCTTTTAGGATTCCTGTTCATAAAATGGGAGATTGTCAATTTTAAAATATTAAATAAAAGGGGAGGTCATGCCTGCCTAAGTTTCTGAGTTACCTTTGTTCATTTGTTTTGGGACGCCCCTTCCTCCCCTGGCTTAGTTCAGGGCTTACTCCTGACAGAGCTCCAAATACCATATGTTGTTCCGGGGATTGAACCCACCGTATGATCTCTCCAGCTCTCCAGTTACCTTTTTTAAATTCTGTCAAGAACCTCAAGTGTCTGCACACAATAGGAAGCTTTCAGGGAAAGAATGGCAGTGCCCAAAGAGAAACCAAAAGTGCATCTGGATTGGCCCCAAGTGACAGGAAGAGGAGGTTAGATTGTGCATCTCTCAGAACCATCTGCTGCTGTGTTCACAAGCCTGGAACCGCACTTTGGGACTTTGAGACTGGGTGGTTTTATCTGTTGCAGTAAGATAATTGATGGCTTGTTTTGTCAACTCATCTTTGTCCTTTTGTTGCAATAGGTTAAACAGTGCACCCGTTGAAGGCTTTTCAAAAGATGTTGGAAATAAAACCACCATAAGGATGACTTATCCAGAGGGCGCCCCACTGTCTGATCTGGACTATTATGCCAATGACTTGTTTGTTACTGTTTTATTTAAGGAGGTAGACTTCAAGTGGCTTCAAGCAATAATAAAAAATGAGACCCTGGTAAGCATTAGAAATTGAGCTCACCAATGTACCTTCCTGAGAAGTTAAGGGAATTCCAATTATAGTCACCAATTTTTATTTTTAAGTAAACACAGTGAATTGTGGGACTTCTGTTCTTTCAACTAATTTCCCTTCTTTGTAGCCTCCTGGGTGGGAATGTCTGTCTCTCAGAGCTTGTGAAAATTACGGAACCAGATGTGGACGTGGTGATCATGATTTACTAGGAATAGCAAATTTAGAGCCAAAATTTCCCACACACCTTATCCAGGCTTCTTGAACTTATATGGCTTTTGGCTATTTGCAGAAATTAGATTCCTGTGGATGAGTACAAGTCATTACTGAGGCTGTTCAAAAGCATAGACATACAAGGAATATTCTCAGAATATTTTCAGAGAGATTCTTTCAAAAGAGCTTTGATTGATTTCCAACCATTGTTGGAAATTCACACCCTCCAGGCAAGCAAATATGGAAGAGATGGCCCTTACTGGGTGATATTCCTTTGTTTTTCTTCATAATAAGAGTCAACATTATTTTATCATCCTAAGCCCCTTATGTTGAAATAAGCTTCAGAAGCCAACTGTTAAGTACTGTGAGTGCATCCTACTACATGCTCATATCTGCAAGATTACTAGGATGTATTAAACTTTTGACATAAGCTTGTGATGGAGCATAAGCCAACACTTGATTCTCTATGGTGGTCATGGTTGTCTGGATTTTCTTTTTAAGAAAAGTTCTGGTTGGAAAGTGAAGTGCATAGGAAATGACTTACAGACACCATGAGATTTTACAGATGGGGAAATAGAGTTTAAAGTATGGAGAAAATGCACGTAAGGGCTTGGCCAGTGCCGGCACTTACTGCCATTAGCACCCTGGAATTGGAATTGCTTATTCATCCCAGGCAATGATGACTCTCAATCCTAAAAAACACTGTCTTGGGTCATTGAATTGAGGAACCTCTGAATTAAGGCACTTCCTACCCAATTAAGAACTGACTCTTCAGTTCTTCATCCCCAGTCAGTCCTTGAGAGCTGCTTATTGAAGTTGAGTTCTTAGGTTGCACAGCCCATGTTGGCCACAAAGAATGTCATCTATGTGTGGTCACAGCAAGGCGGGGGATGCGTTCCCTCCCTGTACTGACAGCATCCGCTGTGCTGTACCACTAACAGTTGCTTGTTTTCTCTCCCTAGTCATTTTGGGTGCGGCTCTTCTTTTGGAAGCAGGTCGTGGAAAAAATCCCTCTGCAACCAAAACATTTCAGGATTTTGAATCCAGTTATCATCAAGGAGACTGCCTTTGACATCCTTCAGTTTCCAGAACCTCAGTCAAGGTTCTGGGGCCAAGATAAGGTATTCAAAATTTCTGTTCTTCCTGTGCTGGAGGAGAGATTTCTGCACACGTTTCTCTCAGGCTCAGCCATGTCCCTCACATCATCTTCCCGTGGAGCAATCTAGCCATGGTTAGATGCCCCCAAGTGTATGTCGGGTTAGATGCTCCAGGTGTACACCGCACTCTGACCCCAGGATCCTGTTAATTGCCCCAGAAGTGTTAATTGCCCACTTCTGTTCCTGACTCATGCCTTTACTCAGCATGTAGGTCACTAAGATGTTCTTTAAGGTATTCTTTCTCCAAAATTCCATATAAATGCAGAGCATGCAGACATATGGTCTGAGTTTTCCTCTCATTCTCTTTCTCTTTATTTCTCTCTTCCTCTCTTTCTCGTTCTAACTCAATCTGTATTTCTGTCTCTCTCTTGTCTCTGTCTCTTTCTCCCCCCACCTCCCATATCCCTCTCACTACCTCTAGCTGTGCTCAGGGCTCTGCACTCAGGGCTCACTCCTGGTGGGCTGTTGGGGACCACCTGTGGTACCAGGGATTAAATCTGGCTTGGCTGCATGCAGTCAAGTACTACCCCACCCACTGCACTATCTCCCAGGCCCCGAGTTCTTCTCATTTTTAACTCTGTGGGTCACTCCAGTGAGAGATACCATGTTTACTAATAAATGAAGGTTTTGATAATGAAGTCATCCTCCAAAGCAGTGCATTTTTCAGTTGATGTTTGAGCCCTGCACTGAATGTGGGTATTTTCCAAGATCTCTGGGTGATTTTAATTTGCAATATAACTTAAGAAGATAAGCATAAAGGTAATACAGACTTTTTACTCTAATAGTTTCTGTACCCTCAGTTATCCCATGCTACCACCAGGGGAAGGATGCTTTATCCTTTGGAAAGCTGAACCTGTGTTTTTAAAACCTTTTCCAAAAGCCTTGGAAATACATTACTCTGGCTGCTCTTTCCCAACTGGGAACACATAGAGGTGCCAGAACACGGAGTTTAACATATAATCCATGAGCATCACTTTTAACTAAACGGTTTAAAAAAAAATACAGACTTTGACAAGATTCTTAAGTTCGGTATAGAAGTTTCTTCAATACTTGAGTATTTTTAGTATCTATTGAGATACTCATAGATTTCTGTTTATTTTAAATTGCTTTGTTTCTTTACTAAATGCCATCATTTTAAAAACACAAGTAAATGTTTCTTTGTTGGCTTATAGGTAGATTTAATTTTAAAAAGAACCCTTTAAAAAAAGTTGGGGGACTGGAGCAATAGTACAGTGGGTAGAGTCCTTGTTTTGCACGTCGCCAACCCAGATTGGATCCCTGGCATCCCAGATGGTCTTCTGAGCCCACAGGAGTCAGCCCTGAACACAGAGCCAGGAATGAGCCCTGGGCACTGCTGGTGTGGCCCAAATGCAAACCATAAAAAAGGTGGGAGAGAGATAGATTTAGGGCCAAAGAGATAGTACTGAGACCACAGTCCTTGCACATGCCAGTCCTGTGGCTGGCCCTGGCACCATCAGTGGTCCCCAGGCTCTGCCAGGCATGACCCCTAAGCACAGAACTGGAGTAAGCCCAACACACTTGTCAGTTGTGATCCAAAAACAGAAAAAAGTGAACAGATTTGGGGGCTGGAAAGACCGTACAGGGGTTAAGATACTTGCCTTGTGTGTAACCCAGCCCTGACCTTTCGTTCCCCAAGCACAGAGCCAGGACTAGCCTCCAGCACTGCCAGATGTGGCCCCCAAACAAAACAAAAGATGACAGATTTTATTATCTCTAATATGAAATTACTGAATGTCGGAAGGCATCAGGACCAACAAGACCCAGAAGAAATGTGTGAAATGTTATAAAAATGACAGATTAAATAGTCTCAAAGTACACAGTGCCTGTTAAACATAAAAAGGTGAGCCAGTTTGAAACCTGGGAAAATAAATATATATTTCACAAAGTGAAATTAAAATAGCCAAAGAATATATGATAAATATGTTCATCTTCACCACATTAAATAAAAGCATATTAGAAGCACAACAATGTTATCCGGGTGTGAATAGGGTACACCTGGTGCTGTCCAGGGGACCATATGTGGTTCCATGATTCCAAAAAGGTTTGCAGCCATGGTCGCATGGTAGGCAAGCACCATAACCTTTGTACTATCTCCAACCCCATAATGACATGTTTTGCTTGTTTTCTGAGCATAGGTTTGAAGGCCAGATATTGTTGTCATGTGGCAGAATTATATGGCCATGTGTTTTCTGAAGGGTAGTTTGGTAACCTTACATCAGTTTCAAATATCAGTAATTTTTCACCCTGTACTTTTACCCATGGTGTATTCGATATGCCAAAAACAGTAACAAAGAATATCACAATGGAGACGCTACTAGTGCCCGCCTGAGCAAATCCATGAACAATGGGAGGACAGTGCTACTACAGTGCTACAGTACTTCTACCCAAGAGATATGTTATTTGAGCCAAAGGTTATAGTATAGGGGTTAAGGCGCACACCTTAGGTCATCCTGGGTTTGTTCCATGGTACCACTTGGGAAGGTTTCAAACATGAAGTGGTAGCGTGATACAAAACCCAGAATGTTTGCACGTGACCTGGACTTCTTAAATTATAGGCCGTCCTGGTAATTACCATATGGTAATTTAGTGTGAAGGTCATGAAAAACTTGGCAGCAGTAAAAAAAAAAAAATAGTTTCTGATGAATTCAAAAGCAACCAGGTCATGAATCCAAAGTATTTCAGTAGCACTGCACTGGCTGACCTGCATCCTGCATTCCCAGCTTGAAGGGTGGGCCTGAGCGGCAGCAGTCAAAGGAGAAGCCCTATTCTAGACAGGAGGAGACATTTGGGGAGACACAAATGTGAACGCCCCTCATTTGGGCCTACAGAGGTCACATGCCAAACAGAGGAATGCAGAGGAAACTGATGAGGAGCGATGCATAGAAAACTGTCCAGGAAGTGATCTTCTCTAGAAAAGCAGAGGGTCGTACCAGGCGTGGCTGCATTGGAAGGGACAGAGCCATCCACAGCACCCAGGTCGGAAGGACAGATAAGCACCTGAAACCTGACCTGAGAACAGGTAGTGAAAGGTCCTGTGGCCACTTCCCAGACCCCTATTGACAGGAGAGAGAGCAAATGGGGCTTGTGCTCCCCTTTGGTCAGCAGTTGGACTGGAGGGTGGAAGTTTTAGGAGGGACAGTGCTCAGCTCGGTACAAGAAATATCAAAAACATTCACACCAGGGGCTGGAGAAATGGCTCAGCTGGTAGGGCTCTTGCCTTACACACAGCCAACCTCAGTTCTGTCCCCATACCCAATCCCCACCAGGAAGGATCCCTGAATGCAGGGTCAGGAGCCCTGAGAACTGCCTGGCATGGCCCAAAACCTTAAAAAAAAAAAAAGTAAACAAACAAAAATCATTTATCCTGTTGACCACAGTTTAGAGCTCGATTTGGTTGGTTGCTCTGATCTTAGAACTCTGGCACCCATAAAATCATGCGATGAACAAAAACAGACACACCCGGGGCAGCTTCTATTACTTATCATATCATCCCTCATCCTGGGAAAGCCGTGAATGATGCTTAGAATTGTTGTGTATCCTTTCTTTTCAGAATATCCCCACAATTGGTGTCATTGCCGTGATCTTGGCCACACACCTGTGTGATGAAGTCAGCTTGGCGGGCTTCGGCTATGACCTCAGCCAACCCAAAACCCCTTTGCACTATTTTGACAATCAGTGCATGGCCGCCATGAACTTCCAGACCATGCACAATGTGACCACGGAGACCCAGTTCTTGCTGCGACTGGTCAAGGAGGGCGTGGTGAAGGACCTGAGTGGGGGCATCCACTGAATTCTGAACAGAAGCCTCGCCGGAAGGAAGGCCTTTCCCAACCTTCTCCATGCGTTCTTTCTGCTCCGTTCTTGGACTTGCAGCTGTGATTTTTAACTTTGTGTTTAAAAACCTCCCGAACAAGAAACAATTTTATTCATCCCATTTTTTTTATTGGCCCTACTTCCTTGAAACCAGTGTTTTTGCACAAAATTTTGTAAGCTAACCTTGCGGATTGGCTGTGAAAGACTTTTCAAAGTGAATGACATCTGATGGCGTTTTATGGTATTTTAAACAAATTATTTTATTTGTGAAGACTCTTGTCTTTGTCTGCTGTGCATAGGATGACAAGGAGTTAAATGGAAGGAGAAGGAAGCAGTTTGGTCCAGAGGGCCTGGCTGCAGTTCTGTGTTCCTACACTTGGGGGAGCAAGATGGCTTCTCTGTGGCTAAGCCAGCGGTACTGGACCAGCACCATGAGCGGGGCTGATCAGAGAAGTCTGCTGCCTCTCTCTGTGGCCTCTGTGGCTCCTTGGGGAAGACTGCAACCCATATAGCAAAATAGTATTCCTCTGGTCTCATGTCTTAAATGTCTCTGTGGATACTTGCATTTTGCTTTTGAAAACTCTCTTTGTTTAAAGAGAATGCACTTGGGCCAAGGATATGGCTTGTATGTGTGAAGCTCAGTTGGATCTCTGGCAACGAGAGAGAGAGAGAGAGAGAGAGAGAGAGAGAGAGAGAGAGAGAGAATATGCTTTCATAGTCTTACCACTTTTGATGACTTAATTTGAATATTGGGACTCAGACGTGTGGTCCATGGCTGTCCTATGGCTCAGGCAGGACCACCAGGCCTGTAGTGTACATCTCAGTGCCATCTCCAGAGTATACTCAGAGTAGGCCAGCATTTAAGACCAGGGTTTGACACACCAACTCCCCAGTAATTGAGTCCATATCATAAAGTCAAGGGCTGTGAAAAGCTCAACCCCTTTTCCTAGAATTGGGCCTTCGTCCCTTGTCTCTCCAACTGATGAGTCTCATGGTGGGTGGTGTGGGCTGGCAGAGAGGTCCTAGCCAGAAGATAAGGTGAGCAGTGGCTCTCAATGTGGATTATTAATTTTAATGTGGATAAAGGGGCTGGAGTTCTCAGTTTTGTAGGAGACAGGAGTTAGGGCTTTAAGTTTGTTAGCTGTCTTTCTCTGGGTTGGCATTTCTGCTGGAGATAGAGATTGAGCCTCTTTTTGCCTAGATGCTTACTGCCCCTTATTTTTTCAGTAGGACAAGACTTGTCTGCCCCTGGGGACATTTTCTGTCCCTGTCACCTGAGCCTCTCAAGGCTGTGGGATGTATTAGCCTGGTGCTTCAAAAAATGCTGGTCTGATCCCATCTCTCTCCCTTCTTTTCTGTGTGACCTTAGTGCAGGCTCTATCCAGGCCTCTTGACTTTCATTCACTGGCAGGTAGTAAGTTCCCTAATCCTAGCATCTTAAACTGTGGGTCCTGGACCCATATGGAGTCACATAACTGAATGTGAAGGATCGTGAAAGTTTGTTTTAAAATAAATTTATGATTTATTATTAGTCAGTGTTTGATTTAGTTCTTATGCCTAGGGCCATGTGAAAATTTCTCTGGCAAAAGGAATCACAAGTAGAAAAGATTTAAGAAGCTTTAAGTGAATAAAAGGTGCATTTTTTTTCTTTTTAATAGGATATTCTACAATTTATTTAATTAATTTATTTGGGGGGTGGGGCCACACCCAGCAGTGCCAGGGGTTACTTCTGTCCCTGCACTCAGGGATCACTCCTGGCAGGGTTCGGTGGGCCATATGGGGTCCTGGGGATTGAACCCAGTCAACCACATGCCAGGCAAGAGACTTACTTACCCACTTAACTGTTTCTCCCGCCCCATAAGGCGTGTTTTTCAGAGACCTTTTATGGAGTCCACCTGCCAGTCAGAACAGAGCTTTTAGCACTTAACATTTTGGGGAATTTCCTTCTCTGCTTCTAGAATGCTCCTAGACCCCACCCCCAACCCAGCAGCTTTTCTGGAAATTCTTCTAGGAGCGCCAGGGTAGCCTGACTGAGTTCAGAAGCCGAGGGTTCACCAGCCCTCCTCCAACTTGGCCTAGTTTTATAGGCCTGCACAACTTTCCTCCAACATGGATGGAATCACTGGTTTTGAGGCAACTTAGGACAATGTACCTGTTTTCTGTATCTGATGTTACTGGAACTCTGAGCCACTGAAAATTTCAGTCGGTTTTTTAATTTGTTTTCCTTATGGAGAGCATATTCTTTCCAGAAACTCAGGCCGGCCATGGAATAACAGGAACTGCAGTGACTTATGCCCTTATCACCTGTCTTGTATTTTTGGAGCTAAAATCGGGGTATTCTGAATGACCTCTTGGGTTCTAGGTGTTGCATTACCTTCTACCCTACTCCTCCGTGTCATGCTGTTTTCATTTCATTTTCCATAAATGTGTAATAAGGTGTTAATTAGCTGAAGTGTGTCTATTTTTAATGAATTTGAAGGATCTCATTATTTGTTGAACCCATCACTTAAAGTAAGCAGTGACAGAAGAAGTTAAGGGAAGAAGGAAACATCTTGCCAGACACCAAATGATGTTGGGACTGAAGAGAGAGCCACATTGGTTTGTTCACTCTCACGCAAGGCATCAAAGTTCACTCAAAATGAATCAAAGGCTTGGATGGGAGCTTCAGGACCATAAAATACAGCAGAAAGCACAGGCCAAATATTCCAATCTTGGTTTCAATGTTGTCTTCAGGGATTTGACTCCATCAGCAAAGAAAACGAGCAAAATCAACTGGAATCTATCAGCTTCAATCTTTACAGCAAAAGGAGCAATCACTAAAAAAAAATTCTTCTGAATAACAGAATATTCGCACATCACACATCTGACAAAGGGCTACTTGTCCAATAACTACCTATAAAGAACTCAAGGACAACAGAACAAACTACCCCATGGAAATGCCACAGAAGAGCGAGACAGATATGCAGATGACCTAAAGGCCCATGATGAGCTCATTGTCACTGGTCATCATGGACATAAAAATCAATATGCCAGTGAGATTCTACCTCACACCTGTATGAATGGCCTGTATCAAAAGGGTCAGAAATGAGTGTTTGGCAGGAGTGTGAAGAACTTGCTCTCATTTTTTATTGCTGGGAATATAAATGGATCCTTTTTTCCAATCTCTATGGAAATGAACTATGGAGATTTCCAAAAAATCAAAAATTAAAAAATTAACTAGAGCTACCATATGATCCAGGTATTTTACCCCTTGGTATCCATCCCAGTAACTGAAAGACCAATGTTTAAAATTTGCATGCACATCTGTGTTCATTACAGTACCAGACAAGATACCAAAAACCACCCAAATGCCTGATGACAGATGAGTAGTTACAGAAGATGTGATCTAGATTCACAGTGAAATTCTATTTGGCCATTAGGAAAGATGAAATCTTGCCTTTTACTCCCACATGGCTGGAATTTGAGGGGCTTGTACTAAGAGAAATAAGTCAGAAGGAGAAAAACAAATACCAGGTGATCTCCCTCATACGTGTTATACTCAAAAAGAAAGCAAAGAAATAGCCAGTGCTGAAGAGAAGCTAGCCTGAGAATCTGATCACAGAATTGAGGTTACAGTGAGTTGTGTGTTTGGCGGTGAGGGTGGAGGTGTCTGTGGGCTAAAGGGGCCCTGGGACTGTGGTTGAGGGAGATTGATACCATGGAAGGGGGTGTAAAATGGCACCATTGAATCACTTAGTTACATATTTATACTCTGTAAACACATATTACCTCAATTAAAAATAACTGCTAAAAATGGAAAAGCAAAAATAAGTCACACCAGCATTTTCTTTTTTCTTTTGGTATGTGTGTGGGGTGCGGAGGGAACTATATCCTGTGGTGTCAGGGGTCAAACCACAGTCCCACTCATTCAACACATGTGCCCCTCACCTTGTACTATCTCTCTAGGCCCTCAATTGCTAAAGTTTTTTAAAACCAAGAACCACTTTTGTTTATCTCCTTCCCAACCCCATCACTTTAGGACTTGAGGCCCAAAAAAGATTGTAGAATTGACCTTATTCTGCATCAGAAGAATCTCTTAGACCCACATTGTTGGAAGATTAAGAAATGATAGTTCCCCTTTTTATCAGGTTTATAGGTTTCTGTTTCTGTTTCTCCCATTCTTCTTTGGGGTAGTCCCATCCTCCTCAGTCATCAAGTCCACTGAAAGAAAAAAAGAGTTTCTGTGATTCAGCAGAACTCACCTTTTGATTAGAGTCTTTTGTCTGACAGTATGAGTTGCTACGTATGAGATGTGTATCCTTTGGGCCTTTCTTCATTTGCATGTAGAATAAAACGCTTCCCTTGTTTGCTGCCCATGGGACCAACCTCTCTTCCCACACACCGTCCTCTCCACCACATGCTCTTGGCTCCAGAAAAGCGCACCAAGAGAAAGAAGCCGATCCCAGAATATGGTGTACCCCCCAAATGTGTTTCCTTCCATGGAGACTAAGACCCCCTCACCAACCTTCTCAATCTTTCACCTTTCTTACTCCCCATGGACATTTTAGACCATTTTAGACCATTTTAGACCATCTATACCATTTATCTTCTCAGAAACAAGGGATTTATCAGTATATACCGACTGCCTATATTCAAACCTGGACTGAAGTAAACAGGGAAGGAGAACTACTCATTAAACCTACCACACAAAGGTTATTGCATACAAGGTAATTTTCTCAAATGGAAATGACAGCAGCCTTGATAAATTGAACATTTATTATCAGAATGATTTGATTTGATTAATTCCCAATATCAAATGTCAACCATATGCAGAGAAGAAAAGCATATTGGCAGGCTATGGTGCCACAAGAATACATGGTATGCTTTGAAATTCTGTTGTAACTTTTTTAAAAGCAGATTTATCCCATGTGCTGTGTCAATAAAAACACATCGGAAAGAAGACAAGCTTCTAGGTTCTCTTCTGTCTGGAAAAAAGGGAGGTGTTGAGTTTCATGTGGGTGTCAGGCTGTCGTCTATGGTTTGGCAGACACAGCATTTATAATCTTTGTGTAATGTGACCAGTGGAATTTTCTGAAAATTAAACAATCAGGAAACCTCAGTAGACACTTCACAGTAGCAATATTAAGAACTGATTGCACATGAAAATGATTATCTGAAAGAGCAAGATATTTTCACATTATCCTCTGTTACTTGGCTTACATGTTTTTTCACTTATCAGAGAGAATCAGTTCCCAGAGAAATAGACACTAACGATGATGAATTCACTTGAAATATAGGTTAGACTCTTGATATATGAAGGTCACACCAACTTACCAGGCAGTAATAGGAACGCAACAGAATGTGCAGTGAGGGACAGTAAAGGCTGATTAAGTAGTCAGCTGCAAAAGTAGGTTTGCGTAACCTGTTCCCTTAACTTCTGAAGGTCTCTTAGCAAGATGACTTGTTTGGGGTGGGGAAAATGGTCTGTCATCCCTAACACAACAAGAGTCCATCTGTAACTACATTACAAACTCTCTAGTTACAGAATTTTATACGTTAATACATTTAGAGCCTTCTAACAAAACATTGCCTACTGGGGCTGGAGCGATAGCACAGCGGGTAGGGCGTTTGCCTTGCACGCAGCCAACATGGCCGATACAGATTCGATTCCCAGCATCCCATATGGTGCCCCGAGCACCCCCAGGAGTGATTCCTGAGTGCATGAGCAAGGAGTAACCCCTGAGCATCGCCGGGTGTGACCCAAAAAGCAAAAACAAACAAAAAAAAAACATTGCCTACTGAAGGCAGCAGTGTTTGATGTTGGAGAGGGTCTTCCCAAGCAGGGCCCCTGGGAACCACTTCCACTAATATTTAGCCAACAGGGATGAACAGGTCAATGTTCAGTCTGGGGTTGCAGTGCTGCTCAGACCCATGTTATTGGGGATCTGCAGGGCAGCACTCAGTGGTACTCAGGGGACCATGCAGTGCCAGGGATGCAAGTCTGTTCCTTTGAATATACCCCTGACTATGGAGCTGGTTTTCCAATCCTCAGATATGTTGTCCTTACTCTAAAGACAGTCAGCTGAGCTTTTCTGTCTAGAAGCAATTTGTGGATACAGTTCATGCTAAGAGAATATCCAGAGCAATGTAGGTACCTAAAGCAATAAGTGAATGTTCCTGCTTTTCCTGAATGAACTGTTGTTAGTGACTTAGTTATTCTAATAGCTGATTAGGCCTATTTACAAACTCTTCGCTTAGCCATACATTTTAGAAAACCAATTTATTGCTAAAATGTCCCAAATAATAGATGTGATTGATAGAATGTCAAAGACCTTCCAAAGGTGTGCCACAATAGGGATTGGGACTTCTGACTTTAATAGGGAAGTTTCTGTATCAGTGTTCTACGTTCAAGACAGCTACAGTGAGTTCATTGTATGGAATTTGAAAACTTTGTACGTGGGGCTTGCAAGTCCATTGTATGGAATTTGCATCACATACTTGCCTGCTTGCTTTTTTGCTGTAATTTACTGGATAATTTTTTTTTCTTTTTGGGTCACATCCGGCAAAGCACAGGGGTTCCTCCTGGCTCTGCACTCAGGAATTACCCCTGGCGGTGCTCAGGGGACCATATGGGATACTGGGAATTGAACCCAGGTTGGCCGCGTGCAAGGCAAACGCCCTACCCACTGTGCTATTGCTCCAGCCCCTGGATAAATTTTTTTAAAGATGGGAATTAGTATATAATTTTGAGTTGTGCAAAATTTAAAATAACAGGGCAAAAGGACTTCTAACAATGAGATTTTGTTCTGGAGCTTCTTGCTCTTCCATTGTGTTAATTATGTATGAGCAGTGAGTGAACTTCATGTGCGCACACAAACACACACAGAGCCACCCTACCACCATGACCACCATCACGACTACCACCACCACCAAATAAGCAAATGTAGTTTGTAATTTCAACCAAGAGTCTTCCCCTAAAAGGTTGAGTAAAATATCACAGTGGTGGCATCTCTTTGTCTATCACTCAATGATGTTACTATTCTATGTAAATTTGACCTTAACTAAGAGCACTGTTGTGCAGTGATCCCAGGGTAAAGCAAGAAGAGGCCAGAAGGGACAGACCCTCTGTCTACTCGCTAACCTTCCCCACTCTCTCAACAGGGCTGCCAACTTGTCATATGAGAGACTGACAGGGGAACGAGACCGGACATTGGTCAATGCAAATGTGATATACTGTTGGTCTAGAAGGGGAGGGAGTCACAAGACTTTGCCTCTGTTAGGAGAATATTCTCTTGTAACAACCAGCACTGCAAAGCTTAACAACAACTAGACCCTGTTATTCCCTTAAGCAAACATCTCTATGCCTACACAAGGACAGGTAACTTTCTGCCTTTCTTTAGATTTGTCAACATCAATCATCCCCACTTGCATCTTTGATCAAGTCTATTAGATTGTTCTTGCAAGCCCCACACACAAAGCCTGGAGGCCTGGTATGCCTGTGCCTGAGAGGTCAATGAGCTACAGATACTGGATACCAACAGGGAATGAAAGGACCAAGTGATGGCTGGTCATCCCATTCATTAACATTGTAAAAATCACACTCTTAAAAACATCAAAGCTCTCAGTTGCCATGGTAATTCCTAGAAGTAACCAAATATGATGAGAAACTGCATAACACTTTGACTTCAAGAAATCACCACCCCCAAACCCTCTCTGTCATCTGAAATTTCATATATATTCCACCCCTTATTAATTTGCTGTTGGTGTACCCATATGATCCAAAAATTTGTTTTTGTTGGTTCGTTTTTTCCTCGGGGGTTGGGCAGAGGGGCATATTGGGTGGTGCTCAGGGGTTACTCCTGGCTTTGCACTCATAAATCACTCCTGGCTGTGCTCTGGGGGACCATTTGTGGTGCCGGAGATCGAACTCAGGCTGACTGCATGCAAGGCTAGTACCTTACCCCTGTACTGTCTCTGTGGCCCCTGACCTAAGAATTCAATAGAAACAATGCTACTGTCTCTATAACCCATACTCTGATTCCTAAGTAGTACTTTCACTCTAATAAACTATGTTCTGTTTCTATGACTCAGTCTTGAATTCTTTCCTGTGGCAAAATATGGAGCCTGAGCAGGAACCACAACTTTGGTCCTGATCAGGTTTTCCACCAACAGAACCATCTGGTCATTCTCTTGCATTGAACAAGCCTTTCCTGTCAGCTTCATGCTCTGGTTTGTGCCTGGCATCCTACATCTCCACGGTCAGCAGTCTTAATTCCAACTGCATTGTCCAACTAACCTGGTCAAATACTCTGACTTTTGCTTTGGACAGTCAAACCACCATACTAATTTCATGACTTTATCTACTCACTAGTGACTTGTTTTATATGTTTACATATCCTACTGCATTGAGGATCATATTTAGAAGGGCTCTCTTTTTTTTTTAATTTTTATTAGTGAGATACCATGAGGTACAGTTGTAGACTTACAAATTTTGCGCTTGGGTTTCAATTATACAATGGTCAAATATCCATCCCTCCACCAGTGCTAGAAGGGCTCTCTTGACAACTTCCAAATCAGTCTGTAACTTCTTCAAAATCTTTCCAGAATCTTCCCCAGATGTTCTTCCAGCAGAGTCAATATTGATGTTCTTCCCCTCTCTGTTCTCTCTGCCCCTTTCAACTTCCTGCTCACACCCTGTGTGGAACATTGACTTCGCTCGCCTCCTATTAGAAATAATCCTTCTTCAGATAGCCCAGCTGGGCTGATGACTAGAATCTGTCCAGGGACAAGGAGCCGGATTCAAAAGCCACTGTCCTGTTCCTATTTGCTGGATGTCAGAATGAATTCAGGAACATTGGCATGTCTAGTTTTTACTGTCCAGCTTTAAATACTCCTTGAGTAGATAAAAATCTAAGCATTACCATTCAGTTCTCGGAGAGCCCGGCAAGCTACCGAGAGTATTCAATATGCCAGACACAGTAACAACAAAGTCTCCAATGGAGACGTTACTGGGTCCGCTCGAGCAAATCGACAATCAACGGGAGGGCCTTTACCTTTACCTTACCATTCAGTTATGAAATGGGAAGTAGAAAAACTTATTTCAAACTCATTTCTTTAGACTTTCTGAAGTTTATGAAAAGTGATATGAAAGAACAGATATTATACCTCCTTTGATGAACAAACTTAACCTGAAGTAGTCCTACAGCTTATCTCTCTGGGCTGGCTGGAGAGTCTGGACAGGACCTAGAAAGCCAAGAGTAAGCCCTGCCTCTGCTACGACACGACCCTCCAGTCTGCTGCGGGGAAATCCCAGCCTCGCTCTGGGGTTTCTGTTAAACGGGACATTGGCAGGGGCCCCAATACAATTTCTCTTGACCAAGCAAAACTAGCTCCGAAGCAGCGGCTGGCGGGTCTAGCGTGCAACAGCGACACCCCGCGGCCATAAAGGGTTCGCACCGCCTGCAGAGCCCGGGCGCGTGGTTCAGGACCCACCTGCTGGCCCACAGGCGCAGCGCGCATCTTCCCTCCGGGGGAAGGTCTCTGTCCACCCTTGGTCCTCTTCTCTCTCCTGGATTCCGCGTTCCACCTGCTCGGCCACTGCCTCTTCTCAGTACCCCGCCCCCTCCCGCAGGGCGCCGCCAGCCTGCAGGCACACTCCAAGACCTTGAGCCGGGCGTCAGATACCAATAAGCCCCGTCCTGGACGTGCCAGGACTTACTTCCGCCAAACTGCTGGCAGGCCAAGTGGGCACGCGCTCTGGAATATCATTTCCATCTGTATCACTGTATCACTGTCATCCTGTCGTTCATCAATTGCCTCAAGCAGGCACCAGTAACGTCTCCTTCATCCTAGCCCTGAGATTTTAGGAAGTGCCACATTCAAGGCTCTTTAAGGGTCAGGAGAATGAGACTCATCATTGTTACTGGTTTTTGGCATATTAAATACGCCATGGGGAGTTTGCC